TAAGTAATTACCTTCGTCCCGACCCAACTAGGAGTTTACTTCGGTTACGTACCTACGGTAGTTAGTTCTACTCTCTACTGTTTGTTCCTTCGTATGTCCTCCTCTCCTCCTCTCTCTCTCTCTCTCTCTCTTCTCTTTCTCTCTCTTCTTTCTCTCTACAATTGATATTTGTCATCTCATAGTTGTCCATTGCATTTAAAACATACAAATTACATTCCCTCTTTCTCACATACGTTTCTCTGCAATTGAGTTTTGACAGTTCTTTCTCCATTTTTTTTATAAAATCCCTCTATCACTCCACCTTGTTGGTACAGTTACAGTCCATTTTTCTCTCTCTCTCATGGCCCTATCATGCAGGTAAGAAGCAAATCACTAGGCCTGAGGGGAGAAAATAAGGTATGCCTCCAATTCTCAATGGATGCAAGGGCCAAAGTGGTTCCTCCTCTCTCTACTGAATTTAGTGGCAATGCATATGTCATGGCCTCCATTTTCACCACAGCCAAGGCCTTAGAGGAAGAACCCATTTCAACAACAGCTTACAAGATTAGAGAAGCCAAAGAATCAATCACTGATGAGTATATTAGGGCATATTTGATTGCACTTGATGCTCCACAGAAATCTCTACCTCCATTGCCGGAGCTAACTATTGTTTCAGACCTTAGAAACCTCCCTTTTCACTGTGCAGACTTTGGCCATGGCCATGCAGCTTCTGCTGCTCTCTTGCCATCTCCTCTCCCCCAGTCTGCTTTTCTGATGAGGGCTCCAAATGAAGAGGGGGCGATTGATGTCAGCTTGGGTTTGCCCTTGCAGATTGCAAATGCTTTTAGCCATTGCTTCCTACATGTTTAGAGAGAGAGAGAGAGAGAGAGTTGTTTTCCTCGTTTTTGGGCTGTGATGAAATACCTTTGCGCCACAGTTCCATAGGTTTTAGGGTTTCAAGTTGTAATAATTTCCTTTCTAATCAAGTTTATGTATTTATTAGTATTAGAGTAGGTCACTTAAAGTTTCAATGACAAACACAATTAGCATACCCTCTCTCTCTCTTGCACAATTAGTCTCTCTTGCACAATTAGTGTATCCTCTCTCTCTCTCTCTCTGTATATCATGCATGGATTGAAATCAGGCTCTCAAGGAATGATATAACTCAATCTATGTGCTCTCTCTCTTTGGCACACACCCTCTGCAATGAGAATTGGAGTACGTAGTAGAGCATCTCAATGTTCACTACTAGAAGGATCCGGTTTCTATGTAGCCAGCCTGCGTATTGTAGAAATGCGGGCTTCTTAATAAATATATTTTTTAAATATAATTTTATCTTAATTTTTAGAGAGTATATAATTTTTAATATAGAAATTAGGAATATAAAAAAAATAAAAATAATTAAAAACTAAAAATAATAATTATAATAAAAAACTATTTGAACAGTTAGTCATACTTGTTTTTAGATGTACCACCACCTATTTATACCTCTCGGTCCCGCCCGCATGAAACAATTTTCCTTGCTTCGAAAGACACCAACAATTGGTGCTCTCTCTCTTAATGGTCTCTCTCTCATGGTGCAACGGTTAGGGAGCAAAGAACTGGGCCCGAAAATGAAAGTGTGTATGCAGCATTGTTAATGACAAACTGCACATTTTGTTTTTTTACTTAAACGACGGGGATGCTCACCTCCTCTATGTAGGCAAGTAGGTGTGCTTAGCATTTCAAGCCCCGTGCTTGCAGTATCATAGTGACAGCTATTAGCTGTATGTGGCATATGATGACCATATATATTTGTCTTTTCGCATTAATTTGAATTGTTGGCTAGCTTAGATACTCACCAAACTATCACTTTTGCCCACTTTAGTACCGGGTGATAATGTGTTACAATGTGATGTTTTGAGTTTCATTCTTATCATAAGTAAGAAATCTGTTTTCTCGTGAATTACCCAACAAAGAAGAAAACAATTACTTTTATATTTTGGAGAGAGGTACTACTTATCCTAGAAGCACATAAAAATTGATATTTCTAGAAGGAAAATTGTTTCATGCGGTCTGGACCTCATTTCTACATATGTGGTCCAGAAGTATAAAGCATCCATCTTAAAGATTGATGCAAGTAGTGTTCCATATAAAAATAATGGAAACTAACGTTCCAAATATTTTCTTAGTAGAATTATTATTTCTGGCTTTTAAATTATTATTTTTTTCATATTAATGATCTCCATATTAGAGATTACATGTCCTTAAAAATTAAGTCTAAAAATCCATTTCAAATATAGAAATTTAAGAGGCATTGCATTTCTACATATGCAGGCTTGGCCCGCATGCTAGAACCTCTAGAATCCTAAGTCCATTTTTGTGCACAATAACAATTTTTTTGCTAGAACCTTTCAAAAAGAAAAACATTGATCTATTTCTAAAATAGATTTATATACAAGAAAACATAAAATAATAAAGAGAAATTTATAGGAAACATTCAACATTTTATCCATTTACGACTATTTCAAATCATGACCATATTTTGTTTTATGGGTATTTTGAAATTAAATCAAAAGACAAAGGTAGAATATGAAATTGTTGATCTCTTATGAGCATATTTTTAAGTTTCCCAATAATAAATGCAATAAAATTAAAATGAGAAACAAATAAACGATTCTCTTAAAAGGGAATTTCATACACGACGCAAGAACTCCTTGTAGTGATTGGTACTCGAGCATTCCTAGAAACCTCTAACCATGAACTATCTGACCATAATATCGAAGTGAATCCTAGTACAATCTAACTTGTAGTTCATAGTCTATAGTCCATTGGAAATCCTTCGAGAAAACCTAAAAGGCTCTTGTTTATCCCAGTTTATCCTTATCTATCCAAGCTTATCCAAATCAATCCAAATCTGCCCTACTCCATCTAAGCACTATCCAAAACAACTTAGAAATAGTAGAAAATGACCAATAAGCACGACGGACAGGTATTAAAATCATATCAGACCTACACCATATCGCACTATAGTGACTCTTGCATCATCCAACGTTGGATTTGGACCATCGATATAGTGTGCATTGCTGCTTCATATGTATTCAAAAAATTTCAAGAAGTCCAGTCTTCCATGTTGTGAGACTTCTATCCATATATTGGCTTATTTCAAAGCAATTTGGTTGGAGTTCAAAGATAGATCTACAGAGATTTTAAGAGTTCAAATAGCGCTAGAATTCTGAATTCTTTTTCAAAAGTCAATACTCGGGACAGATCTTGGGACTCCCATTCCTATTAGATCTAGAAGCCAAAGGAAGCATGTATAAACCCTTATGTGGTACCTTTTAAAATATAACTGTAGAAACTTATGGAGACATAGAACTTACGTCATCCCTAATCTTTGGCCCTTTAAACCCTAGAAACTGAAGTCCTTAAGCCCCAATTTTCTATTATTCTAACAGCCACGAAGCCCAAAAATAGCCATTGAGATATGAAAACCAAAGACTTAGGCAACATATGCCATAAGCAAACCCTAAATTAGAAAAGCTTTGAACGAACATACCCTAAGAAGTCAAACCCAGGAAAGAATATTCCTTAGGCAACTTCTTAGATTCAAGCAAAATATCTAGGGTGGATGATGAATACTCTTTAAGCGCTAGTCTAATCCAAGTCAACAACGCAAGGAGCCATGCCTGAGGAATTGGCTTTCAAGTAAGTAATATTTGTCTTTCTTATTTTATTTTTTGTTTCTACTCTTTACTCGTTTGTTTTTTATTTAAGTTTTTCCTAGTTTCTTTGTCGTTTTTATTCTATTTCGTGCTAGCTCTGCCCACAATATATGAGGAGAAATGTTGTTCTTATAAATATATCTTCTCATGCACTGTAATTCGATAAAACCTACTCTTTTCTACCGAGTTCAATTGATTTAGTTTAAAGCATAAATCATAATGGATTTTATTTATGATCTTATTAGATTTGGATGTAAATAGTTTAGCGCCCATTGTAGGGCACATTGGGCTTCAAAAGGCATGAAAACCAGTCTAAAAATGACCTTGAAAGTCCATTACAATAGCCAATGTGATGAACTAGAGTGTAACATTGGGTGAAGCAGAGGACCTGGAGAGGATAATTTCTCAGTAACGTACTTTGTTTTGCTGGGATTTTGGATCCAGCGGCCCGGTCTACGTTATTAGAGTTATACAATGACACAATCTATGTCGATGTGTCTAGTCCTTTCCAAAACCTTTTGGGCCGCATTTCATTTTTATGTTATTAATCTTTCTCAATTCCAAAATAAAAAAATAAAAAATTGATAACTATATCTTGCTTTCTTTTATGTCATAGTTGCAATTTTGAGATTTTGCATGTATCTTCTATGTTTTCGTTGTGTGTTTGGTTGCTTAATATTATGTGCTTGTCAAAATCTTTTACATATGCCCATGTGTGCTCTTCTGCACACCTTGCACACAAGCTCCAATAAAACCATGTCAAATTTTTTAAAACCTCTAAAGTTGGCATTAAAGCTAAAAAGGGCACTTGACTTTTAGAAATCGGATAGTTGGGGATTGCACGACTTTAATTGTAAGTACCTCTATGCAATGCCTTTCCCTAATATCACATCACAATAGCAGGAGCCCATGACAATATCCATAAGGGTGGCTTAAGACATATGTGGTCGTATTCTAAACGTAACTGCATTTCAACTTTTTATTAGTTAGAAAGCCTCTCTTAAACCTTCTTACACATAACAAATTAGGGTAAAAGTTTTCAAATATTTTCATGTAGTGTTTGCCTAATTCAAATAAAAGTAACATAGGATCATGTCTCAAGACCATAACAAGGTGAGGTCCAGTCAAGTCCATGGTCCATCCTAGTCTAGGTCTAGGGCTTCAAGTCACCAGTCCGGAGGGCACCTCACTAGTGCTCCTCAAATCCATAGTGTCCCAGTATTTTTCGTCCACATGGGATCATTATAATAAGTCTTGGTCTCCAAATCTGTAATTCTTATAACCACTATTGAGGATCCATAAGTTTATATGAGTCGTGGCATCCTGAATATTCAAGGGATTAGACCATGACAATTCTCCAATGTTCAAGGAATAGCCTTCATTCTAGTTAGCATGTCCAAGGTAGGCTAGATGTGCAAACCCTCAATAGCCTTAGGCTAGTTGATAGGTAACCATACGAATCAGGAGGTCAAGAGGTCAAAGAGAAGGCAAATAGGGCCATCAAGAGGTCAAAGAAAAGGTAAATAGGACCTAGCTATGTCTCTAGTTACCGTGATACAACTAGAGCCAACTCAACTTTCTAATTTAACACAAGTGGAGGCAAGGCCTTCATATAAAGCAATTCCAAATAAACCTTAATATGTAGGCTTTCCTCCAAGCTAATCAAGGATAGAATATTTGACATATTCATCATGGTCGAGGCAAGTCAAAAATACAAACCCTTAGTATCCTTGAGCAAGTCGACCCAAATCAGGTTAACCCTAAGGGTCATTTACCAGCTAAACACTGAAACCAAGAACCACACAAGAGGTGTAGAATACCTAGTTAAGGATTTGGCTCTAGGCTAAGATTCAACTCAAGGGCCTATGCCATCAAGTAGAAATCATAGGCTTCCCTCCCTTTTTTGATCTAGCACCAAAGAAAGGAGTGGACCTAGCTCTAGTTCATCACCTATTAGTGAGCACACTATCTAGGAAGCTTTATTACAAAACTCAGTGAGTCAATGTCACACCATCCAAGCACCAGGTAGTGGGCTCAGCTAGGATCAACCAAAGAAACCTTGGTAACCCTATTGGCAAGTCAATTCCTTGAGGTCCACGCCTGGGGTAGATTAATTGGCTCAATAGATTATATTAATTGGCTCAATAGATTAGTCAATATCTGAAGTGCAACCAACTCAATGGATTAGCAACCTCTCCCAAGTAGCGAGATCATTAGTAGGTTAGTCAATCCATCAAGGCCAACCATATCAGACAATCCCAATGGCTCAGATCTATCAACTGCAGGTCTAATCATTTCAGGTTATTCCCCAAGGTCAAGCATACCAGTCCATGTTACGCAACTAGCC